AGCTTTTCAACGAGTAACACGGACCGCGAATTCACTGCGTCGTTGTCTGCTTGTCTTGAAACCTCCTGAAAGGAGATTGAAATGCGGGTGAGAGCCACCGGCACTGTAGGGCACCTTGTCAAACCCGGGTAGCATTCATCATCACGGTCTTTAGCTCTTCCGCTTTCCCCTCGGTCAGTGAACTCATTCTTTCGAATGAAGTGACGAAACCCGCCTTCGAATAATCGATGGCAAGAAGCAGCCTGGCTTGTTCTCCTTCGTTCCACTCAAGCATCCTGCTGGATATACAGTCGGCGTGATCCCAGCCGCCAATGGTAGGCATGGCAAGTATCCCCGGCGCTGCGTTTTTCTGGACGAGCCATTCGTCGTGGTCAAGAAAGAGGCTAGGGACATTCGGGTTCCAGCATGTGACGTTGCTCAACGATCGATTGCCATCGTCGTAAAGCCTGCCATACGTCACTGAGAAGATAAAAGTTAGCTAGCTGAGACTTCCTGTGTTTTTGGGGCATCTCACGAGAAACAGAAAATGTTGGAGCCGAAAGAGCCACAGGCGCGATTGCGACAAATGGTATCAACACGTGAAGTGCGTGAATCATGCAACTTATGGAATAGGAACGTATTCGTAGTTGGTTCTTTAGGTAAATTGGATGAAATTGAGGGGTTTCAAGATTCGCGTTGGGAAAGACGAGAAATGTGCCATAGTAAGCCATCCTAGACTAAGGGCCACATTGGAATTGACCTCCAGGCACCCATGAACGACTTCCTGTTTTTCGAAGTTAGTTACATCTGCGCCTCTGAACAGACAGGTGGCCAGATTGGATGTCCTATGTACAGATTTCATTGTTGCCCTAAGAGGCACCTGCGCCATTCTGGCATCACATATCCTACGTATCTGGTTGACCGTGGGCTATCAAGTTAGAGGTGTAAGCCAAAGCTAGAGGTAGAGATCTGGCTGAGGACGTCGAGCAAGTAAACGGCTCAACAAGAAGTCCTTTCCACGGGAGCGATACAAGCAATGCGGAACGCTGTCAAGAATTGCATGTTTCCACGTGTTTTCAATTCTCGTCTCAAAGGTATCTGAACGAATGGCGTATGTCGAGCTAAAAGCAATCATATGCGCTGAATGGCATAACAGCAGAAGACATCATGTTTCCACCCAATTTTGTTCCACATTTAAGCCAGCGACTTGGGGGGCTCTCTTACTTCACGACTCTCTACCTGCTGAACATCCGGTGCATCAAGCTGCTTCGTGACGGCTGCAGCGGCCTGGTCATAGTTCGTCTTATCCTCGAACACTGTATCACACGTTAGCCCGCTGGAAAAACGAGACAGACATATCGTAGCCCGGGGTCACTTACAGAAGGCTAGCTCCTCGAGGGTGCGGTTGTACGTCTCGGGATACATGAAATAGATGAAGGCGAGCTCGAAGAAGATCCAAGCGCAGTAAATAGCAAAATACTTCCAGTCGAGCTCAGTAAGAGCGAGGGGGTTGACGTTGGTGGAGAAGAAGCCGCCGGCCTTGCCGAAGATCTGCTGGACACCGATACCCATGGTGCGCTGAGCGTAGGGCCAGAGCTCAACGAGATAGGCTGGACAATGTCAGTGAAGTGCACATGTTGGCGTTCGCTCCGAGAGAAAACTCACTGTAGGTCAATGCATTGTTGCCCATGTTGTAGCACGGCGAGTAAGCGAAATAGAAGAACAGAGCCGCATACTGGGCCGGCTGGTTCTTGAAGCCGTTGTCCTTGGCATAGCGGAGGCGCTCGAAGGAAATGGTCATGCTAATGAAGACGAGGAGCATGCCAGTGGCAGAAATCATGTACATCCACCGTCTCCTGAAGCGCGTGATGATGAGGGCGATGATGGTCGAGTTCATGAAGCCCCAGCACTGGTTGGCAATGTTGATTCTCGACTTGGCGTAGGTGCTGGTGAATCCCATCATATCGAAAAGGAGGTTTGCATAGTACGACAGCAGGGTGTTTCCAGACATTTGCGTGAATAAGCCAATGAAGACGGTGATGAGCACACGGCGTCGCATGCCGGCTGTTCTGAACAGGTCCCACCATGATTGTTTGGAGTGCTGCATCTCCAAGGCGATGGTAGCCTTCATTTGAGCCATCTCAGCCCTGACGAGCTCGGAGTTGACGTCACCCTCTGCGTGGTACTTAATGAGGATTGCGTAGGCTTCATCGTCTCGGTCATGACTGATAAGGTATCGCGGACTCTCGGGCAGCAGGCTGTATGCGGGTAAGCAACGAGCGATGCACGAGCAGCTGTGTCGTCAACTCACAAAACCGTAGCAATCTGCAGGACGGAGGGACAGATTTGAAGCAGCGATGGAATGCGCCAGCTCCAGTGTGATTTGATCTCAACGGTCGCCAGCGAGATGGCGCAGGCGATGATGGAGCCGATGTACCAACTCGCGTTGAAGAGGGATGTCAGGACGGGACGCTCCTTGGGGTGGCCGAGCTCGGCAATCATAGCGGCACCCGAAATGATGGCGAATACAATGCCGAGACCGAGCAGCATGCGGGAGATGATGTACATGCCAACTGAAGAGAGAAAGACTCGTCAGCTCAGGGACTTCGCATGGAATGGATGGGATGCATACTGTGTTGAGAGAAACCCTGCAGAAGAGCACCGATGACCATGATGATGGAGCCCGTCATGATAGACCACCGCCTGCCGTACTTCTGGTTGAACCAAGGGGCAATCGGTACACCCACGATGGATCCAAGTTGGTAGCAGGACGAGATGAATCCCAACATGCTGGGCTCTATGGCAGGCTTCCCGTCCTCATTCAGGTAGCCATCGCCAAAGTCTGCATCGGTCAGTCAGGGTTTTATCATGTTCGCGTATTGCTGCAAGCAGCGTCTTGCGGCAAGCAGCTTCTTGCCCAGGCGGCATCTTGCGGTGACTTACATTTGTTGAAGTTGGGAGAGAACTGCAGCGTGTTGATGAGCTGCGAGTCAAAACCAGAGGTCATCTCGACACCCATGCAACAGAGGAACAGCCAAATGTACATAATTCGAAGGTTTGGCTTCCTCCAAAAAGGCACCTTGTCCTCGGCTACGAGCCGAGTGACAATGGGGTCGGCAGAGCTGCCGGTGTTGATCCCCATGGTGGCGGGTTCGGCAAGACAGGACGAAGATGTTGGCTCAGATCAACCTCGAGCGGACCACCAGCCAGGGCAGTGGTATGGGAGAGGAGGTAGAGTGCGTCGAGAATGAGGGTGAGAGACACGAACTCGGGTTGATGCGATGCCCCGTCCTATTTATCATCATTGTACCGCGAACATGCAGATAGATCCCCAATGTCTTTCGTCTGCCATTCTTTCCCCAGGTTACCCCGCGAAGCACGACAGAGCCTGACCCCAAGCAGCATCTGGAGTCAAGGCACGTCCCAAAAAGGTATGTGAGGGCACCATACGGACCTGCAACCCGGCGCGAGCCGCAACGCTTGCAAGTTCACACTGTGGCCCGCCATGCCCATATCAGGCCAGAGTCTCGTCAAGTGCCGAGGATCTCCCGTTACGCTCGCCTGGAATCCTTCCGGGCCAGTTTCCCATTGGAGGAGTGCCGTGGTGGCATTGGACCATGAGAAACCTGCACTGTTCTGCGCCGTTTGTCTGCAGGTTTGGCATGGTCAACAGACCACGGATTGCACTGGCCATGATCCTGCGAGGTAGGCAAGACTGCCGAGAACAGCCTGGCTTTGACGTTGTGGCTTTCCTCCCCGGCACTGAGCTTGTGTCTGCCGAGTTGCCAGTTCGGGGTGATTCCTAGGTTCCCCAACTTGTGGCGGACCTCCGTCTCGTGCCTCCGACTTTGGTCCGTGTGAATCCCGTCGTGTTCACTGTTGTGCTTACGGTCTGCCGGACCGTATCAGGTCGTAATGGGCCCGAATGAGGAAACAACCCCTGGCATCTGACAGTTGGGCTGGTTCCTGACTGCTCGCCTGACCGCACAGTTTGTGTAATTCCTGAGGTACCTTAGGTACCAGGGCAGGGACAGATCGGAAGCCGAGAGGGTACTGCCAGTGGGCCATATGTTAGAGACACGGCCAAGTGGAGAGGAATCTCCGCGGTACTCCGCACGGGTTCTTCCCCTCCCTAATATTGATCCTGGGATGTAAAAGAAGGCTAAGAAACCGTGTGGGTGGCATTGATGTTGAAGCCGGTGTGGGGCCGACACGGCGGAAACGGTAACACATTGTTCCGAGAACCCCCCGGAACTCACTGAGAGGCGCCCCACACCGGCGTCATTCGTCCAACGCAGCTTGGATCTCCCCCGCCGCAGCGAAGTCTAGCTCTCGTGCCTCACCACCAAGACTGCGGCTCCAGAGCTTGTCCCAACCACACTCCCCCACACAATGGCTGACCACGGTGTCAACTATGGCGACAGCCAATCCGGCCTTCCTGTGGCAAATGCCACCAAGAATGAGGTCAAGAAGCCCAAGAAGAAGAAGGTCCTCCTCATGGGCAAGAGTGGCTCAGGGAAGTCCAGCATGCGCAGCATCATTTTCAGCAACTACATCGCACGCGACACACGCAGGCTGTCAGTCTTTGCGCCATGGTAGTTCCGGTGGACCTTGTGCTGATAATTTACTTGCAGAGGCGCCACCATTGACATTGATCTCTCGCACGTCAAGTTCCTCGGCAACCTGACCCTCAACCTGTGGGACTGCGGCGGCCAAGAGGCCTTTATGGAAAACTATCTTTCGCAGCAGCGCGTCCACGTCTTCTCCAACGTCGGCGTCCTCATCTACGTTTTCGACATTGAGTCTCGCGACGTCGACCGCGACCTCGCCACCTACGTGTCCATCCTCTCCGCCCTCCTCCAGTTCTCTCCGCAGGCCCGCATCTACGTCCTCATCCACAAGATGGACCTCGTCGTCCCCGCCCACCGCGAGTCCGTCTACGACGAGCGCGTCCGCATCGTGCGCCAGAAGACGGCCGAGTACGCCCATAGCATAGGCTTCTCCGCCGCCGCGGCCGACGACGCCTCCCCGACCGACACGAGCCCCCTCGCCAGCGCCGCCGCGACGCCCGACATCACCCCCTTTGCGACCTCCATCTGGGACCAGTCCCTCTACAAGGCCTGGGCCTCCATCATCCACGACCTCGTCCCCAACCTCGCGACCATCGAGCGCAACCTCGCCAACCTCGGCACCGCCATCGAGGCCGAGGAGCTGCTCCTCTTCGAGCGCACCTCCTTCCTCGCCGTCTCCTCCTGGACCTCCCCGGAGGGCCTGCGCAACCCGACCGAGGACCGCCTCGAGCGCATGTCCAACATTATGAAGCACTTCAAGCAGAGCATCAGCCGCTTCACCGGCACGCCGCGCAACGCCGAGCAGTTTGTCCGCATGGAGCACAAGGCCGGCCTGCGCTTCAACCTGTTCATCCTGAAGTTCACGACCAACACGTACCTCATGGTCGTGCTGCCGCCGGGCGAGGCGCGCTTCAACGCCGCCATGCTGAACTGCCAGATTGCCATTGAGCACTTCAAGTTCCTCGACGGGCCCGCGACGCTGGCAGCGCAGGGCGTGGCTTCCTAGGGCGCGGATCTGTGGGGAAGAGACGGATTGGGCGGGATGTGGGGACGGACTGGGTGGATGGGAAGGGAAGGGATAGGATGGGATGGCGTTTGATGGAGTTAAATGATACCAATGTCACATCGAATAGATAAGAACATACAAGAAGAATAAGCTCACCGCGAACAGCAGCGCTTTCTCACTCGACATCTGGACTGGTGGGGTACAATGAGACTCTTCGTTGAGTCTAATTGCTTAACTGATCTACCTGCCCATACCAAATCGTGGCCTAGGCTGAGAGCTAACCATCAGCTGCCAGCCGCGCGAGCGTGCCGCTCAGCCTTCTCAAAACGCCGTGTCAATGTCTGTCATGTCGCAATGTCGTATCATGTAATAGTTAAGCCCACTTGACGACAGCTGTGCCGCCTTTCTTAAACTCGGGCATTTCGCCCAAGACCAGACTACGGTCCGTGTGCTCCTTATTGGGGAACGTTGTGGCCAGAACCCAGGGCCGTGCTGCCACGTCTGTGGAAGCACGCGAGACGAAGCCGTAGACATCGTCGAGAGTCTGGGTCGTGTTGAACCGGGCGGGAAGCCTGCTGCCGTCAGGCAACTGTATGCGCAATGTTAGAGTCGGGAGACTCTCATCGACGGTTGTCGAGGGTGCTGACGATGTCGAGGCAGCAGCGGCAGGAGCTGGAGCAGCAGCCGGAGCAGCAGATGCGTTCCCGTCGCCAGGTACTTCACTGCCAAGCCGCTGACCGGCTCCACCGAAAGGCTTGTAAGTCTGGGGAAGACGGCGGTAGTTCTCTTCGTGTTGGTGGAGCTTGACGTCGACAGGCTGGTCATATCGAACGTTCATGAGATGGAGTGGAGCACGGCCGGCGCGGATCTGCGCAAGGTCGGCCGCGTTGGCAGGGTCGTCAAAGCGGTGCAGCTCACCATCATCGATACTGAAACCATCTCTCCAGAGATGGAGAGAGCGCTCTTGCGGCTCCTCGTTCGAAGCATCGTTGTCCTCAGCAGCATTGGGATCGGGGATTGTACGGCTCTCGACACCGTCACCGCCAAGCGAACGACCGGCTCCACGGAACGTATTGGGGGCGCGAGAAGGACCGGCAGCTGCCTCGGAATTTGAGCCTGACTTGGCAGCGTTCCTAGACGGTTGTAAGCATTTGCTTCGGCATACGGTCAATGGTAGTCACGTACGCCTTCGCCTTGGCCAGAATATCGTTGATGATCTTCATTGGTCCCCCGTCGCCCTGGTTCGTGGGGTCTTGAACAGCAAGCCCTGACTTCTCGCCACCAGCAAACAGATCGCGCGGGTTGCGGCCTTCATCCACATCATCCGTATCGTCGTCATCGTCATCGTCATCATGCTGTCCTCCGCCGCCCAAAGACCCCAGGGTTGCAACGCCCTTCCGCTTCTGTGTTTTCTTGGCGGGAGCGGGCGCACGACGCTGAGACTCGGGAGCGGGACGTCCGTCGAGGGTCCGCGGGCCCGTGTAGTTGTCAGGGACAGAGGGTGCGCTGGAGGGCTCGTCTTCACGGTCTTGGTCGAGGTAGAAAGCTTGGGCGGCCTGGCCAAAGTCCCAGTCGGCAGCTTCAAGGAGGCCGATGCACTGGGTACGTCAGATTGAGTGCTCACGACGCAATAAGTTCGCGTCTTACCCTTTCCTCCGAATAACCAGTCAATTGATGGAGTTCCTGGAGAGCTTGCGCCCGCGCGGTATCATCCTGGCCGGACATGGTGGAAGGAAACGACAGGTGGCGGTGGGGTGAGCTTAGGATGAAGCAATTCAGTCGCGCCTTTGCTCGACAATGCGTTGGCTTTGTTGGCTAGTATCGAGTCTTGGTGTTCTGGTGTTCCGAAAGAGTCAATGTAAAGGAAGAAATATGTCGGAAGCAAGGCACCACTGTTGTGATCGATCGTACCTTCTAGATGGCCTTCACTGGAGCTCCAGGCGGGCGCGGGTGACGTGGGGAGGGAGCATGGACCCAACAATGCCGTTGTTACCCCACCATAACCCGGATCAGTCTGCCACCGAACTCCGTGATTATGTCATCCTTCATCTTCGTGGTGATGCATCTACCCCGGCTTGTGCTCGGCTTGACGAGAGAGCTTCCCGGCCACAGTCGGTCAACACGGTGCCTCCAACGACTGCCAACCACTACCATCGTGCCGGCCTTCGACCTTGCCTCTGTAACCTTATCCCCAGACGGCCCATCATGGCGGACGAATTCGCGAACCCTCTGGCCGAGTCTGGCGTCACCATTCGATCCGACAGTGAACAGTACTCGCAGGGCGAGGACCTCTCTGCGTCCCCTCCCTCGTCTTCCTCCCCCGTTATTCTCTACAAGCCACCCACGGTGTGGTCCCTGTTGCGAGGTGCTGCCATCAACCTTTTCTTGCCGTTTATCAATGGCATGATGCTGGGTTTCGGAGAGTTGTTTGCCCACGAGGCCGCGTTTCGGTTAGGATGGGGAGGCACCAAGGTACGGACGCCCCAATCGCTCGGGAGGAATCATAATACACTCCGCGTCGATGATTCACAAGTAATCAACGAGAGTTTCTGGCTCAATGCTAACTGTAGTCAAGGTATTTCCCACGACGCGCCGTGCCCATGCCATTGGCCCCGGCCTCGAGATTCGCGAGAAGCGCACACCGCGAACGGAGCTGGACGACCTGACGAGTCTGGAATGACTTGGTGGGTGGGATTAAGGCCAAGACGACATCGACCAAAAGCCTATGAGCACTCGCAGCTTTGACAGAGAGGGTCCTACAACACTGCGAGTCGCAATGGGTGCATCGAGGATGGTGTTATGAATATATATCTGCGAGCTAAAAGCCGCACGCGGGAACACGGATGCGCAATCATGCAGTTCACCACGCCAACCAGGCTGCGCGATAGATCACATTGCAGCAAAGGCGTCTTTTGTAACATTGTAGAAGGGCAAGCCACGGCGGTACAGGCTAGTGGCTCAGAGCGTCGGGCAGATGGATACGATCCGCAAGAACCAAACTCGGAATGCGTCTCAGGGATACATAGCCCCCAAAAAATCCATTATGAATAATTATATCGAATGACAGATTGCAGAGTGGAATGGATTTCTTCAGTCAGATTACCATGTCACGGCTGTCATCTTGGTCGTGCACATTGACCCATTTCCCGAGCGCATCAGCGGTGTCGGCGACTCCACCGAGGTTCTCCCGGCGCGTTACCAAAAAAATCTGGAGCCTCGAACTCGCGAAGCCTTAACGTTGACCCTGCATCCAGCCTGACATACGGCCTCAGATCAACAACATGTTGCCTAGCAGAGGAGCACTTCGTTCGCTCTCCACGGGTAGGGCGTACCTTCAGGCACAGACCGTGAGAGAAATCCATCAATTAATCTTCTGACTTCCCCCCTGACATGAGCAGACCTCCAGGTTTTCCAATGGTCGACAGTTTGGCACCACTTCACGCATCGCCAGCACATCATGGTCGGGGCTGAGGCCAACAGGAAAGACGCCAGGTCTTGTCCGCACCACTGTCGTCGCCGGCTCGCTTTCTTCCACCCGAACACTCTCCCTGTGGTCCCGGGGCCCCAAGACTGAGGCCACACCAGCACCGGCTACGACCCCCGAGGTCGCCGCCGTCGACACAACGGCCCCTGCCGCCACGACAGCATCGATCCCCCCTCCCGAAGCTGCCGTTGCCTCTACCACCCCTTCTTTCGCCGAGGGCGTCGCGTCGGCACCCACTCCTGTCACCGATGCCTCGACCTTCGAGCTCCTCACCGACACCACCATTGCCCAGATGCCCGAGCAGATTGGCTACCTCAAGGCCATCGGCCTCGACTTTGGCTACGGCCCCTCCAGTTGCATGCAATGGATCCTCGAGCATGTGTACATCTACACTGGTCTGCCCTGGTGGGCCACGATCGGTAGCACCGTCCTCCTCCTGCGCCTGCTTCTGCTGAAGCCCACACTCAACGCCCAGCAGGGGTCCGCCAAAATGCAGCAGCTCCAGGGCAACGCCCAGTACGCGGCGCTGAAGCAAAAGATGCAGGACTCGATGAAGAGCGGCGACAAGTCGGCCATGATGGACGCCCGTCAGTCCATCAACCACATCCACAAGCGCGAGGGCGTCAACCCGTTTGCCGCCCTCTGGGGCCTCGTTCAGATCCCCTTCAGCTACGGTCTCTTCATCGTGCTCAACAACATGGCCAAGATTCCCGTTCCGTCGCTGGAGAACGGCGGCCTCTTGTGGTTCGACGACCTGTCCGTGTCTGACCCCTTCTTTATCCTGCCCGTCGCCGCGCCCATCGCCATGGTCGCCATGCTCAAGGTAACGTTCACCGTCGCTCCCGTCCCAAGGGTCGAATAGAGGTAGCTGACATCCGAGACAGTCCGGTACAAAGTTTGCTCCCGTCCAGCAGCAGGCCCAGATGAAGCTCATGATGTACATCTTCGTTCCCCTGTCGCTCATTTTCACAATTTGGCTCCCCGCCGCCGTCCAGTTCTACTTCCTCTGCTCGACCCTCGTCGGCTGGGGCCAGAACCTCCTCTTCCAGAACCCGGCCTTCCGACGCGCCACCGGCCTCCCTGAGCTCGTCAGGCCCGTTCTCCCCGCCTCGACCTCTCGCATTAGCGGCGCCATGTTCTACCCGCCCACCAAGCGCACGGGCTCCACGGATGCCAACACCATCGATGTGACGGCTGTAGAGGAGAAGCCCAAGAACGTCTTCAGCGGCGCCGTCGCAGACCTGAAGCAGACCGTCCACGGAGCCAAGGGTGGCATGGGCTCCTTTGTCGACCAGGCTCGGCAGGAGCAGGCCGAGAAGAGCAACAAGTCATGGGAGGAGAAGCGCGCCGAAGAGGACAAGAGGCGCTTCAAGTCTGATTTGAAGAGGAGAGCGAAGTAGGTTGACGGCAACGGTCGCAAGCAATGTACACTACATAAGAGAAAAGGGTTCTTGGCAAGATTCGCATGTACATGGAGATAGCAGCGGTCGGCCATTGGCCGCTTTGGTTGTCTACGCGGAGGCTGCACAAGAAACATTTGTAACACCAAAAAGAACACAGCATGGTTCGGTGTTGGAAGGGAATATCATAAACATCAAAAGCTGCAGCATGCATGCACACCAGCGCTCAGATCACATTGCGGGAGAAACACCCCGTCGGCGACATTCACCCCAATAACTGACCGGGGCAGAGTGAGGCAACAGGACTTCGGAGAGGAAACATGTGGACAGGCATGGAAACGCGTTCGCCAACCAAAGGACAACGGCTGTCCGGGTCGTGTGCTGTCCAAGCTCACTCGTGCATATCGTCTTGCATACGAAGTACATGTGCGTCTCCAGAGCTCCGCACGAGACCTGGGGCCAGGTGAGTCCGCCAGTGACAGGATGGTAAAAAATTTGGAGGATCGTTCCAGTCGTCAACGTAAAGTGGCGTGACAAATGAGTCGTCAACAAGACGACAGGTCATCTAGATGGCACGGTGACATGTCTCCTCAGTCAGATCGCGGAGTGTGGTTCAAGCTCCGAGGTTACGCTACTACATGTACCTTGGCTGGAGCCGTTCCCAGGCGAGATGTTCCGGGATGTCGTGTGCATGTATGCGAGGCACTGGCTTCTGGCGCAGGCACCGGGTGTTCGTCCCTGGTCTCGATCGGTGGATCACTTATTGAGAATCCAGTCGGTTCTCACAATTCGATCCGCAGCGCCGAATGAAGCCTCAAGGCAGTCCTCGACCGAGCAACCCGACCAGACCACGGATAGTCGGATTGCAGAATGGCCTGAGCTTGGGAAATCCCGAGCTAACAAGCCCGAAGACCCTCCTGCAATATTACTCCTGTTGGTGCAGCCAACAAGTGATGTCCGCACCCCGAAGTACTGTATACACAGTACTGCAGATGCATCTTGGCTCGCCCATTCAACGATGCGAAGGGCGAGACTGCTTGTTGGCTTGAGAACCTGTCATCGCAAGCCGTGCACCGATGTTTGATTGGCTTGGCTGCAGGACATGGCCTGCCGGCCATGTTCGATATATCGTTGCCACGCCCGAAGAAGCGGAGCAGAAATCGCCTAGCAGCGACCGTGGCGTTAGTAACGTCGGAGGCGACGACCGACCTGGGACTGTCATGAATCGTCTTCTGGAAGGTTGTCAACGTCGAGGCCACAGGATGCTGCAGGTAGTAAGGGGTGCTCCAAGGATTGAGGATGCAGTGTACACCAGGGTACGCCTTAGCGGGCGACGGTATTCGTTGACGCTGGGCGTGAGCAGCACCAGAGACGCACTGTCTCCCGTCCCCTTGCATGTACATGGTAGAGCTGCAGTGCGCCGGGGCGAACCTGGCTTGGCCCCCCCTTTTCGATGCGACGTCGCCAGGACCACGACCACGGAGTCGGCCTTTCATATAGCCCGTGTTCTGTGTGTCTGATCGAGAAAGAGGGTCGATGAAGGATCGAAGGCGTGGCAGGCCTGACAGTGAGGGTCGTTTTTGGTCTCACACGCTTGTACTGTCTCTGAGTTGGTGGTTGGTCTTTCAGACAGAGACACGTTGCCGTTGTCGCACTCATTGTAGAGCCTTCGAACTAGAATAAGCGATATAAAAGACTGCAGAACCTTGCGAACAAGGACAGACCAACGATCTCTGTCTACCTACCTACCTACCTACCTAGGTACCCGAGCAGTCTCGAAAGGCGATTGCAGGCGGGCGAGTCTACACGGGAACCCCTTCCGGGGTCCGTAATTAATTTCGTTCGGTCGCGCCAGGACGGGGATGGGACAGTTGTTGCCCACCATTCCCCGGCCAATGTCGACAGTGATGGCGTGCGGGCTGTGAGCGCGCAGTGCTGGCTCTTTCATGGGATTTGGTGCAGGTGTTGAGCAGCTTCGAAGACCAAGGACAAAGCCGAAGCTGGAATAGCAAATGAAGTGGTTCAGAGCCTACTGGATGCAATCAGTTATTCCAATGTCGATTGTCGTATCAACCTAAGGTAGGTAGGTAGGTACCTTGGCAGAACAGTGTCTGGGATTTGAAGAAGACCAATGGATGGTAGTTGCCGCGAGAAAGCATATGCCAGTGTGCGAGGAGTACCTGCCCAGGTACCTACAGCAGGTACCTAGCTACCTACAGCAGGTACCTAGCTACCTACCTTACCAATGGAAGACAGGCATGGCTTGCCAGAGAAGCTGCACCAGATCAGCACCTGCCACGCTGGCGGCGTTCATGTTACAGGAAAGCTGCACCACGCACTGCAGCAGTAGGAACGTCCCCAAGGCCCCAGGGCAATTGCCTCACATGGGCTCCATTGACTCCTTGTCCTTTCCCTCGCGTCTTTGCACTCTCGCGTCTTTGCACTCTCGCGTCTTTGCACTCTCGCGTCTTTGCAGCAAACATACCTTCCTTCCTTTCAGCAGGCGGTCTTTACCCTGCCGTTGCTGCTGCCGCTGCCGCTGCTGCTGCCGTTCCTATCGACCAGGTTCTAGGCAGTTTGGTAGGTTCGCTAGGTAGGTACCTTAGATACCTAGGTAGGTACCTGGTTACTCTACGCCCCCTTCCTTGCTCGGTTGCAAGAGATCGAGGGGCTGTCGTTAGTGTTGGACTCCTACCATTTCGTGTCGCTCTCCAGTGTCCTCATGCAAACCAGCTCACACTCTTCAAATCGCTGTCTCGTTTCTTCCCTCCGTCTGCTTTTCTTTTTCCTCTTTCCCCCCAAATTCCCTTGGATAGTGGTTAATTGACGTCTGCTGTCTCATCCTGCCGCAATTCGCCTGGCTTTGACCCCCAATCGGCCCTCGACAAACAGGCTTCTTCCGACAGACGCATCTTCCCGCGCTGCATTGCCCCAAGCAGAACTATTGGCTGCTCTGCGCGCGATCACCGACCAGACTCTCTTGTTCCTGGCCGATATACACAAATAGCTAGGCAGTATTTCTTCCTTCTCCGAAAGCTAAAACGATACACCCGCCCAACAACGCCCAGCGTCCGATAGCCCGCTCGGGCACGTAGACTTACTCAACGGCGACGGACCCCCCCTAGAGGAAAATTCCGAAGGAACGAGTTCTGGACAGCGCCGGTCCATTTGTCTACGCACGCCGTGAATCACCTTATCAATCTAGTCACGCCAGTCTGCTGTGCTACGTACGCCTAGCTGGCTGCTAGCACGCTACTTGTCCCACTAGTTGCAGGACGACAGACCCTTTGTCTGTTTAGTAAAGAGTCAGTTACTCGCACTAAGCACCCGCGACCCCAAATCCAATCCGCTCGACCTTCCCGGACAGTGCAGATCAGACGGCCAAGTACAAACTGCCGTCTCATCTGGGAGACGTCTAAGAACAATTTCACCGGCACACATACGACGGATCAAGCGCGCGCCTGTTTGTGTCCAACGAGATTTGCAGCTAACAGCGAACAGGCCACTCTCGAGACCCTCCGAAAAAAAGCCAGTCTCTTTGCTTCTGCCTCGATCCCTGATCTGGATCTACGGCGGCCGTAAACTAGGGCCCGTGGACAACGACCCCCAGTTCCCCGCAGCCTTTAAAATTACCGTGTTGACCTGGTCCGACCCGGCTTGTTCTGGCCTACCCTTCGCCAGCTGAACCTCGGACGCCGTCCCTCACTCAACCCTTTTTCTTCACTTTTCAACCCTCTTCACCGAGGTTCTTGATATCGACCGAGGAGCCTTCGCCCGTTCAGCCTCTGTGCAACAGATCCGTTGCCTTGGCCTGCCGACAGCACCACCACCACCTCGACGCGGTTCCCCCAAAGACCCCGCCTTACACCATCCACGTCTTATCAGCCAGCATCACCGCTGTATAACCCCCACCGCCGCCGACCTCCGACCTCAAGACCACCACCAACCACGATGGGTCTCTTCTCCCGTAAGGAGAAAGTTCCCAGGGTGACAGCCAACGCCAAGCCGTCGATCAACACCTCCGACGTCAGTGTTCACTCTGGCGCCTCAAGCCTTAAATCACCGCCTGGGACCACTCGTGGCGGCTTCGGCAGAGTTTCTGGGGGCAATACCAACCCTAACACGCCCTTGACGCCTTTCTCTCCGGTGTCGATCCCCAAGATCGACCTACCGCGACCTCCCGACCCTCAATTGGATCCTGCGGGCTACCTCCGAAGCCTCGGCGCCGTGCGCGAGAGGAGCAGAATTGTCACGGACAAGGCCCTGCGCAATGAACTGAACCATTTCGATGTCGACTTGAACAAGTTCCCCGACGTTGTGAGCTTTGTTTCGTGTATCATCAAGGTGCGTTGAGGACCAGCAAGAACACAACCCCGAAGCAAAACCCAGTTACATCGCATCGCATGCTAACCGGGCGGTATCGTGCTGCAGCGCGACTTTGATGCCCCGTTCACCTCGATCCCGAGCCACGGCCGGCACCAGCATTTCTGCGTTGGCGGTCGTGACCGTATCGCGCATCTCTTGTCCACGTTCCCCGACGATATTGACAATACGGAAAAGTGCCGACGCATGGTAGACCTTTTCCTAGTCAGCGTTTTGCTCGACGCCGGCGCAGGCACGCAGTGGAGCTACAAGAGCACAGAGAACAACCGCATGTATAGGCGGTCAGAAGGCATTGCCGTTGCAAGCTTGGAAATGTTCAAGAGTGGCATGTTCTCAAGCGACAAGTCCAATAAATATCAGGTGGATACCGATGGTCTTCTCACCTTGACGCCCGAGAAACTGGCGGCCGGCCTGCAATCCAAGCCCGGAAACGAGATGGCAGGCGTAGAGGGTCGCACGCAGCTTCTCATCAGACTTGCCGATGCTCTCGAGAAGAAACCAGAATTCTTCGGAAGAGACGGCCGCCCTGGCCGTATGGTTGGTATGTCGACCAGGAGAGCCTGGGTCAAAGTAACGATCACTAACAATTGCTAGATTATTTGCTGTCTCATCCTTCC